GCCACTTCCAGATTCCAAACTGCTTTGACAAAGAATTTAAGTCTGACCTGGGAACCTGGCTCCTTTCTTCCTCCCCACTCTCAGGCCATGGAGATATTCATGGTGCCTTTGCATCAGATTGCCCCATGCCTCCCCTGGCCCCAAGGGGCACTCACTGTGTCACCACATCAGGGCACAAGTAAGCGAAGGGGTCACACAACCGGACCCAGCTTCTGCTGCATTGCTCCCAGAAATAATCTCCATTGTTCTCAAGAAGACACATTATAGTCTTATCCAGGTTCGTCATGATTAAGGATCGATGTCTACTGCCTACGACATGAGAATGGCAATTAGGGCTTTTCAGAGAATGCTCTAATGGTTTCATTATTCCTTCTTTGGAGATTTCATTGACTCTATTGAACTTCTCTATTGAGTATTAAAATAATAAATGTATCAATAGGTAAAGAATTTGTCTCTTCTGAGAAATACGGTCCTGTAGAAGAAATAGGTTCTGGGTAGTTAAAAGGCAAGTGATTTCTGAAGGCTTCCCGTACTGGGCCCTGGATTTATGTCAACATAAGGATATCCTGACAACTCATTCATTCTTCCAGCTAACAGGATTGGGAAAGCAGCCTTATCTCTTTGTGTAAAGTCAATAGGATGCCAGTAGCTTGCAAATATCTTTTAAACTTAGTTATCTTTCTCACATTATCAATCCCCTTTGAAGTTAAAGCCATTTACTTGGCTGCGTTTCCATTTCAGCAGCTGCTTACATTATTTGGTCATGGGGGGTATGGGGGCGGGGAGAGTTCTTATAGGATTTTAGGACCCAGATTTAGGATGGCCGATTTAACTTAAAATTTCAAGGAAATCTGTAACTTGGTTAATGTGTCATTAGCTGCTTACATTATTTGGTCATGGGGGGTATGGGGGCGGGGAGAGTTCTTATAGGATTTTAGGATGGCCGATTTAACTTAAAATTTCAAGGAAATCTGTAACTTGGTTAATGTGTCATTAGTAGAGCCATTTAGACTGTGCTGAGGACAACACTGCTGCACATTGAGTGGCACTGATCAGGAATGCAGTTAATGGACTCCTTTAACAAAACCTTTTTAGAACTGTAGGTCTATGAATTAGAAATCCTTACTGCCATGAAAGTTACAGCTGTGACTTCTGGTTGGCAGTTTTATCTTATTATATATATTACACATTCTGGATGTTTCTAAAGTCCTCAAATTTAAAATTTAATAGTTTTGGAAGTATGTGGTAAATACCAAGTGAGAGCATAATTCATAGAGCTTACACAGGATGCAGTTTAGGCGTCTAGGTTTATTGACAAAATTTTATTAATTGCATTTATAATACTACTAATAAATCCAATCAGAAAAGATGGTTTTCAGGAGTGAACTGTTCTACTATTGAACTAGTATATGTAGCTTCGTCCTAGCTGGTAGTATATAAATTCTTCAGAGCACATCATGTATTGAATAAAATAAGAGAACAATAATAAATTAAGCAATTTTAAAGACTTTATGAACTGTTCCACTTATGGTGATTACAGTTCCTTCTAAAATTTGTAAACTCCAAGCTATTAGAATGCTCTGAAGTACAAGAACTTCAAAAATTCACTAGGTAAATGTGTGTAGGGCTTTTCTTAAGAACTCAGCAAAAAAAGGTCAATCTCTTATTACTTTTTATGAGAAAAAGGGACTTACGAAGCACAGCATGAGAAAGTGTTCATTTTCTCTCTTGCTTTTGTTTCAGAGGACGCTGCATCTAGTGTTTGCTCTGTTTAAATCCCTTGCATGTCCAGGGGCACAGCTCACAGACCTTATGGCCTCTTGGTCATTCTCATGTCCACTTCTGCCCCTCGGGTGCCTTTTCAGGCCAGACGCCTTACCTGTGCTGAGCAAGGGTCTTATCCACACTGTTTGCCTGGATCTCAGCGAATCCAGGAATGCTGCAGTTCAAATACAATCACTTTGACTTCATTTCCTGCCAGTATGCTCTAAATCAAAAGGGTTAGTTTTCAAAGAGTAAAGGTTGTATGCATCTATGTATATTTTTGCATAAGTAATTTCAAAGTCCTGATGCAGTTCATTGCAATGAGACCCACATGGAGACCCCTCTGCACAGCCTCAGCGTGCTGCTGACTGCAAAGACTTCCCTGGCTGCCTTCCTGTCCTGGCCCTGCCACCTTCCACAAAAGGCACTTGCTGACTTTTGCCAGGGACTCCAGGACACAGTCGGTTCACAAACACTGAACAGAAGCTTTGCTTTCTCATGGGTGAACATGATCCTCAGTTAGGCAGGTTTCTAGTTCAGGAGGCTGCCCTCTTGTTCTTTCTTCCCTTTTGCAGTCACTTCAGGTGTGACATGTGTGGTCAGTGACTAGCTGCTTTGTATGACCCTGTCACACAGATTCCATTCCCCTCTCCAGGAATGCATGAATCGCTGCTGCAATGCCACCACCTGCACCCTGAAGCCGGATGCCGTGTGCGCTCACGGGCTGTGCTGTGAGGACTGTCGGGTGAGTCTGTGGGCTCGGCCTGGACGCGGGGCACGCGGTGTGGTGGCACACTTTCCCATGCTCCCCACTGCAGGAGGGTCACTCCTTCTCATGCAGTGTGATACTATTCCCCTCTCAGTCTGTATTGTCGTCCCATCTTCAGGTGAAATGCATATTTTAATTGTAGATATCTGTGATAAATTATTTATGAATTGAAAACTAACGAGACCAAAAACTCTATCAGTATTAAGCGTTGCATTTGTTGCTACCAGATGCACGAGCAGTCCCATTTTAATTGTAGATATCTGTGATAAATTATTTATGAATTGAAAACTAACCAGACCAAAAACTCTATCAGTATTAAGCGTTGCATTTGTTGCTACCAGATGCACGAGCAGTCCTGTTACTACAAAAACAAGGAGAATGACGTGAGGACAAGTCCCCACCCAGGTCATGTTGCCTCATGCCAGGTCCATCTGCTGGATCCCAAGAAGCCGTGTGGGTTGCCCAGGGGTTGTGTGTAAACACCTCGATCTTAATATCTGCCCCGCAAAAGGTGCCAGCCGACCTGGCCCAGCCAAGAGCGGCAGTTTCATACTTTTGCCATTTCTGCTGCTGTGACTGCATGTGTTTTGGCACTTCTGTTGTTTGTCCTGTTTTTCAGAGCAGATAACTGACAAGGCAGAAGCCTGAGCTTTTGATTCAAAGATTTCAAGGGTAGAGTTTTATTTTCTTTTAATTAAGCAATTGATTTTGGCATCCTGCTTACAGAAAACTCCCTCTTACCTGCCCCTCTCAAGCACAGAAATTTAAAAGTGCATGATAACATTTTACGTTCACCTCTAAAATGCCCTTCATCCCCTCCCTAATGGCGATTAATTTATGGGGAATGTTATAAGGAGCTGGCATTCCCTGGCACCCAGCAGCTGGCAGTGGAAGGTGCTGGAAGGGGGCGAGGGAAGATGGGAAGAAGGGTGGGCTTGTGATAAGGCGATGCCCAAAGTAGGTCACCAGGGAGGAAGGCGAGAAGAGATCATATGGCAATGCCTGGGTGTGACCTGCTTTTATTTTATGACTTTCAAACAATTCCTTTCAACTTCGACATTCCAGAAATTGGCAGGAATCTTGTCTCATTGCCTTTGAAAGGTATGCAGAGAGAGCCAAGCCCAGAACTTGGGGGTCCCTGGCTGAGTAGCCTCAGACAAGCCACTCTGAGCCTTAATTTCTTCAACCACTAAGAGCTGAGTGTGGGTCAAATAGTTTCTACCATCCCTTACTGCTCCCTTGTTTTTCTTCTCCTCCAAATCTCCCCATAAAGTGCTAAAGAGAAGCTTTCAGCTCTATGACTTGATGAGAAAGTAAAATCGCTATTGTGATCGTGCCCTTGGAATTATTCTGGTTAACTTGCCAACAAATGCTAGCACTGGAAGTGTGAATGGCATCTTAAGATGTGTATGCTGTTGGCAACCAGGATCTTTTTCTTACAGATCAACCCACCCAGCAGCCAACAGCCCCCACCCTCTTCTTCCTCTGAGGTGACAAGTGCCAGTGACCAGCTTGTCTGCTCATCAGAAAACCCTAATGTTGCATGAAATTAAAAAGAGGCTGCCTTGGTTGTTCTATTGCCCTTATAGTGGAACCCCAGACCCCAGAGTGAGACTGTTTATTTAATAAGCTCTCTCGGCTGTAAAAGGGACTTCATTTGAAATCCTCGCCCCTTTATGTGGGGCTATATTAAGATGGCTTTGCTCCACTCCACCCCAGGAGTGCCATTGAGAGCTGCTTCCCCCTCTCCTGTGATGCACTTGCTATAAAGCACCCTCTCCTTTCAGCTGAAGCCTGCAGGAACTGCGTGCAGAGGCTCCAGCAACTCCTGCGACCTCCCAGAGTTCTGCACAGGGGCCAGTCCTCACTGCCCAGCCAATGTGTACCTGCACGATGGGCACCCGTGTCAGGGGGTGGATGGCTACTGCTACAATGGCATCTGTCAGACCCACGAGCAACAGTGCATCACGCTCTGGGGACCAGGTATGTGGCTGCCACCACCTCGTACAGTGGGATTGAGGGAGCACATTCTGTTCACAGTAAGCCCTCGCTCCTGGAGGGTGCCATTCCAGTCGGGGGGGCCTGGCTACCCGGTAGGGGGTGGGGCCATGCTGGGTATGGAGCAGGCAAACATGGATGCTGCCTGGAGCCTGCCATTGAGGAGCCCAGTGCAGTCCAAGAGATGCATGAGCACCTACTGTATGCTCCATGGGGTG